TTTAAGTAATATGCATCAATAAACAATATTTCATGCATAAAAATTAATTTTTGAATTTTTTTTTGGTCAAATGTTTTATAATATAGTATAAATATATTTTGTTAAGCATAAAATCAAAAAACATGATTCATCATTGTAAACCATACTAAATAAGTAAATATTAAAATAGTTAATTAGGATCTACAAATTTTTATTTGATTATTAGAATTAAATACTTTTAATATATAATCAATCATTTATATCAAGTACTTTTATATATTAAAAGTTGATAAAAGTTAGCTTCAAAACCAAGATTCTGAACAGTTGGAGTTGAGTGAAATCCAAGTCTTAAATTTTCAAACCAATTAAATATTTCATATTCATATAAATATCAAATAATCAGTGCTTTTTACGTATTTTAATTGCAGTAAATATTTCAAATTCTTTCGGTTCTAAATTTTTTCATAAAATCTAAATCACTAAAGATTATTCCGTGAAATTAAACGGTTCTAAAAGACGTTTGGTTTGAAATCAACATGATTTTCCTAATCCCGCTTTAGGAAGAGCATGAAATTATTTTTCTGTATGATACAAATAACTCACTTATTGGTCTTCACCCCCTCAGCTATTACGAACGGTCCCGATCAATGCAATAAGATGTGTTTATTTATTAATCTTTAGACTCTAAATAGTCAATATAATTTAAAGTATGTGAGTTCACTTAATTGATTAAGAAATCTTAACACTTCAATTAAATGGCTATTGGTCTAGGGTATCCAGTGATACCCGATAACCCTATCTTTTTGAAGGCCAGTGGTTCAAGTTTTATCAAATGTCAAAAGTGTTTTAAGTTTAATTTATTTATAAATATTATATATTTCAAAAAAAAAATCAACATTTTTTAAGTCTGATGTTTAAATAAAAAAAAGTCAACACAACGTTGATTGGAGTACCGATTTCCTTTAGAGCGAACATGATACGGATGCATGAACCACGTTAAAAGCGGATTTAAATTGCTATGTTTACTTGGTTGTAGATTTGAACAAAAATTGTTAGGGGGTATTTTAGATTTTTATGGTTTTCTTAGGGGTGGTAAGTGACACTTTGATACTCCTACCTTCCTACGTGCTTGTGGGGAATGATCGAATTGGTTTCCTCCTGTCAGCGTGTATGGTTGGCGTCAACCAGAATACATCTCCATAAAAAATCTATATATTTAGATTGAGTGATATTGTATTATTAAAAACTTTAAACATTATACTAGTTGTGTACCCGTACAATGTAGCGGGAGCCATGAATTTTAACGATTTTGAAGTTCCATGGTTTTATAAGATAAGATTTAACGATGATATATGTTACACTTGATCTTTACATATTAATACAATTTGAATAAATAAGAGTTATGGTTT